CGCTGAATGAGACGAAGGATGATAATTTTGGCGTGCTGGATTTCGTGCAAATGCAAGACGTTCGGCTGGTCGAACGTGTCGGTGCATGCATTCGCAGAAACCTGGTGTTTTGTCCGCAGGCGTAACTTTGTTGAGAATCGGAGTAAATAGGCGGTGACTCGTAGTAACCTTGGCCACGAGGAAAACCGGGTAATCCATGATGGACCAGTTTTTACGGTGGTAACCGCGCAAATTATGGCGTTCTTACGATTTTCGGGCAGAAGATCGGGAGATAAAGCAGGAGGTTGTGTTGGCCAAGGCAATTTAACGGATTGAAGCCACGTTGGTCCTTTCCACCAAAGGGAATGATTCTGCAACTCAGAAGCGGAGAGAGCACGTGAAGCGCAGTCCGCGGGATTTTCACGCGTAGGAACGTGTAGCCACGTGACGTCGGGTAAAGCATTTTGGATTTTGGACACTCGATTCGCGACAAAGGTTTGCCACTGGGAAGGCTGTTGTCGGAGCCACGATAAAACAATTGTGGAGTCAGTCCAGCAATGACATGGAATATTGTCGAACTGAAGGGCAGAGCGGATTACGACCATGAGTCGAGATAACAGATGAGCCGCTAATAATTCTAGACGAGGAATGCTCACCGTTTTGACGGGAGCGACCTTGGCTTTAGCCATAAGCAAAGTCATGGAAACGGAACCGTTTGGATTGATTACGCGGCTGTAAACCACAGCAGCGTACGCGTGATTCGAAGCATCGGCAAAACCGTGGAGAGAATATTGCAAACTACGAGAATTTTGGTAATTCCAACGAGGAATTGAGATGTTGCGGAGAGTGTGCAGCGCGTCGTAATACCGCTGCCACTCGCGAAGTAAAGTGGAGGGCACTGTTTCGTCCCAATCGCATTGTAATAGCCATAATTTTTGCATCATGATTTTGGCAGTTATTGTGACTGGAGTCACGAGACCGAGGGGGTCAAATAATCTAGCGATAACGGATAGAATGCCGCGCTTGGTGGTCGCGCAGGTCGTTGGCATGTTAACCTGAAATTTTACGGTGTCGGTTCCGGGATGCCACGAAACTCCGAGAATCTTTAAGTGTTCGTCGGCGTCTAAGGATTTTTCACAGGCAAGACCATGGTCTGATCTTTCAATGCCCTCTAGTAGGGAAGAACAATTGCTCGCCCATTTCCGTAAATGAAAGCCACCTTTATTAAGCAATGCAACTACTTCATCGCGAGTTTGTATAGCAAGCTGCTGATCTTCAGCTCCGAATAAAAAATCATCGACATAACTTTGATTGTTTAAGACCGGAATGGCTAACGGGAAAGGGGACCCTTCGTCCTCAACGAGTTGTTTTATCACCCGTTGCGCTAAGTATGCTGCAGGAGATGTTCCGTATGTCACGGTACAGAGACGGAATTCCGAAATTGGATCAGAAAAAGTGGATCGCCACAATATTCGTTGGTAATCGCGATCACGAGGGTCTAATAAAATTTGGCGGTACATTTTCGCACTATCAGCTGTATAAACGTATTGAAAGTGGCGCCAACGGAGTAATACGGAGGGTAAGTCATTTTGTAGTTTGGGTCCGATTAATAAACAATCGTTGAGCGATTTGCCCGTGGATGTGGCACAGGATGCGTTGAATACGACGCGCAACGGTGTGGTATCACTGTCTCTTTTGACAACGGCGTGATGCGGGATGTAATAATGACCGGAATTTGGATTTTTAATGGGAGCGGCCGGTTCCATGTGGTGCAATTCTAAATATTCCGCTAGGAATTGGCGATACGCGGTGGATTGTGCAGGGTCCCGAAGTAATCTGCGTTCGAGGAGCAAAAGACGTGATGTTGCGACTGGTTTGGAGGCGCCAAGGTCAACTACAGAGTCGGTTTTAAAGGGAAGGCGGACCATGTATCGGCCCTCTGGGGTGCGAGAATGGGTGGTTTGGAAATGACTCTCACAAAGTTGTTCCTCAGGACTCAAGATCGCTTGTTCCGGTAATTCTTCAATTTGCCAGAATCGGCGTAGATCGGCGTCTAACGTTTGCTCTATTGTGGTATGGTGTAGGTGCACATGGGAGGAGATGGAGGAGGGAGTGACTGGACCGGATATGATCCATCCCAACGCGGTATTTTGCGCACTCGGCTGATTAATCGCGCCCTTACGTACCCCGTTAAGAAGCAGCATCCCATAAAGATCTGCGCCAATGAGAATATCGACCGGATCGGGGCTGAAGGGATCATTATCGGCAAGATTAAGGGAGGTGATATGCGGCCATTCGTTGAGCGCGCCTACGCAACGCGGGATATATTTCGTCAATGACTTAAGTACTAACGCAGTGGTTGAGAACGCGGGATGATGATCTTTCGCGGGGGTGATCGTAACAGAGACTGCGTGTTGTACCGTGGTTGCGGATTCACCGACCCCACATATGCGCACGGGTCTGCGAATTTTAGGCAATTTTAAGAGTTGCGCTAAATTTTCGGTTATAACGGTGGTGGCGGATCCTTGATCTAGTAAAGCGCGCGCGGTCAAAAAGTGCCCGGTCGGGGAGTAAACTCTTACGCGCGCGGTGGCGAGAAGAACTTGAGAGCGCGAGGCGTTGTATTTTGAAATTAAATGTGTGGTGACCGGAGCGTCGGCAAGGTTATGTGGTGGCGTACGCGACTCAGGCGAACTGTTAGAAGACGTTACTGTATTATTATCGAAATGTAACAACGTATGATGTTTTTTGCCGCAATGTTTACACGCGAGTTCGCTGGGGCAATCTTTAACCGAATGTTTTGAACTGAAACAGTTGATACATCGCTTGGATTTTCGAATATTTTCGAATCGCTGGGACGGTGACTGGTTATGGAAACGGTCGCAATGTTTGATTAAATGGTTCGCTTGACAAATCGGACACGCAGAGGTAACGGTTGCGGAATGTGCTGAGATACAACGGTCTTTTACGGGCTTGCTAATGGTTTGATTTTCCGGTAACGATTCTAATGCACGAATTCGCGCGTCGAGAAAGCTTCGTAGTTTATCGAACGTTGGATATTCAGCTTCGTAGTTTATCGAACGTAGGATATTCGAGCGTATCTCCTAGCTGAAGCTCCCAAGCTTTTCTCGTGGCTGAGTCTAATTTTCTAGTCACGAGGAACACTAAAATGTCACTCCATTCCTTAACTGGACGACCGAGATTCGCGAGCGCTTGAATTGCCGCGTTGGTTTTATCGCGGAGTTCGCGAAGACTCGGAGCTGTTTCGAATTTCACCGTTGGCAAATTATGTAACGCATTTAAATGTACGGTGATTAAACGGCGTTTGTTGTCGTAGCGCGATGACAATGTATTCCAGGCGATTGGGAAATTCGCGTCGGTTATCGCAAGGTGACTAAGTACGTTACTCGCGGCGCCGCACAGTGGAGTATTTGCACCGAAAAAGCGGACATAGCAGAATTTAAAAAATTTTGGAATAAGCGTAGAATTTCTGGTGCCTGAGTTAGTTAAATATATGAGGAACAATATATCAACATCCTTTTCTTGATTTATGCAATCATAAAGCGATGTTCTTCAATGAAACTGAAGGATTTTATGACGCGCTTTCCTTCCTTGACAATTGTCCAAAACGCGGCGCTTATATATTCAAAATTTTTCATCATTTTGAAAACATTGAATACATTGTTATTATATGCAAACTTTTCAGACAAATATAACCTTCACTTTCCAACAGGTTTTACTTTTTTATCATACATATTTGTCTAATAATAATTAATGTTTGAATATGATCGATAATTTAATCATCTTTTTTTACGATTTTAAAACTTCATTAATGATTTTGTTATACTTCCGGGTGTGCTCCGACGCTCTATTTGGTGTCATTTTATTCTGTAACATGTCCTGATTGCAATGCAAAAAAATTTGGTTCCGACCGCGTCCGACTGCAGATTTTATAGCAATTTGAAACCTAATTGAGGGATCATACAACTCAGAGGGGGATCATAGAAGGAGTGAAAGGACCTCGAAACCAAAGGAGTCATAAATTTTCACGGTTAACTGAACAGTTTAGTGGGAAGAGGACAGAACATGTATATTCTTTTCTCACTCTGATACATACTCTGATTCTGCCGTATTATGAACAGTATATTCTCCGAAATGCTTAGCCGTTTTCAGCCGGCAATTATGTGAGAAGATGGCAAGGTCCATCCCTACACATATGGTATCAAAATGTTCGTCTATGGCCACAGGTGTGCAAGTTTGTGTTATTTTTTTTATATCCACTGTCACTGATAATAGTTTTTCATAAATACTTTTTGATGATAAATACTTTTTTATTCAGAATATTTCAAAGAATCAATTTATCTAAGAAAAACTATATCGTATTGGTAATAATAAGCATAATAAGGACAATAATACATGTTTTTTTTTAAATGTAATGACTGACAGTGATCAATATTTTTAGGTACATTTCCAATTAAAAAGGCACAGTTCAATAAAAATAATTGTAGGATTAAATATCGGAAAAATACATCCATCTTTATTATGCCTTATGTCGAAGTAACGAAAAAAAAATTATGGTCTTCGATGGTTACAGTTCTAAAGCGGTCAACTTTTCGCACATGGGATGGCAATAAAACTAGCTGTACGTTTTACTGTACTTTTTTCCAAATTGCTTTATTGTCGCAATAACGCCGATGACCTGCCATTTTCGGGCATGAATATTTCTTAAACTATTTTATTTCAACAAACTACAATAGCAATAATGCAATACATGCATATGTAGGTGTATGATAATATTCACATAATTGTAACAAAATAAGGTGAATAGTTACAAATTAGGAATTGGAGCGTGTTCCATTCATCTGATTCTACTACATATACCATTCATGAAATTCTAGTAGTGTAAAAAAGATAAAGCATGTTATGTTCTGTCCTTCCCGAAAGAATAACATTGCTGCACGGCCGATTTCACTTTATAGTTTATCCCTACACTAAACTCCCTGTTGTTTTTTCTACGTGGTCCCCGTCGCATCGTCACGGGGACCTTTCCCCGCCCCCGTCACCTCGGGAACAAAGGCAAGCCGACTAGTATACTTACCTGATTCATAACAAGCAACTAGCCTACATTTAGCGTGTGCTCACATGCATCCAATGGTATTATCTCAATAATTCAGAATAATCGGATTTTATGTAGATATAATGTATGAAAAATGCAACCTTGGTTGCCGGGAATCGAATCCCCCCGCGTCGCAGTTATTGATTGTGCGCATTTATCCCCGTAAATTTTTACAATTTTGTTGTTTAATAGTCATAATAACTTAATCGCATTGCATCGGATTCATATTAGAACAGGAAATAATATAGTATATTATGTCTTGCCAATTGTTAATTCGTCAAAAATGAATCGTGATGAGAAACACTGTTTAGCACGTTGAGAAATCCCAAATTTTTGCCAGATATGTACCCCGGGTGGGACGCACATGGTCACGATACAACGACCATCACGACAACGAGGTCCAATCATGCGATGTTAGAGTGGCCATAAATTGACCCTTCAGTTTTCGCTTAGAACCAGGAAACTTTCCTGGCCGCGGAAATTTATTCTTTTCAAAAAATTCGTGACATTGTTCGTAGTCCTGATTGTTCACTTTTACACGCCTAGGTTATGAACTCGTCCAGGTCTGGATGCCAGATTTTTCATGAGCACTTGTAGACTTTCCAATTTTTATTGTACATTTTTCAGAGAGCATAAATGTCTTTTTGTCCCTCGAAAAGAAAGTCTTCAATAAAGTCCGATTCATTTTTCTAAATAATGTTATGCTTCGTCAAGTAATTACAAGAAACACAAAATATATTCCATAATTTAAAGTAACTGTAAAATTTGTATGTCGTATATGTTCGAAAATGTACAAGAATTTCGCGCAACCAAACGAAAATAAAAAATCAAATAAAAGAATAACTTAGGACAGATTCTTCTAGTGTTGCGTCTTTGATTCGTTACAATGCATACAGCCGAATAAAGTAATCAAGTGTGCTATTGAGCTACATCAAACGCCCAATACATCAGTCGGTAGCATATGTAAAAAAAAACTCCTTCATTAATGAAAAAAACTGTAAAAAAAAACTCCTTCATGAATGGAAAAAAAAAATGTAGCTAATTCGGTTGAGTAGTTTGTGAGAAAAAAATTCCTAACTGGGCCCCATTTTCGCCGAAATGGGCAAAAATTACAAATTTTGAAGGCTTGCCATTCCTGAACAAATTCGAAACGGACATAAAATAATTTTAAGAAAAAAAATACGCCGACCTAGAAATGCACTAAAAAGTATAAAATAATTTCTATTTCCTAATGAAGTAATTTCTATTTCATTCAATCATACAATTACGTAACAGATATGAATGAAACCTATTTACCCGTTAGGTAGTATATTAAATACGAGGTCTGTCCCAAAAGTATCCGACCTTCCTTTATATTTCCCTGCTGGTGTTATCCTAAGTCATCGTGCTGGTGGCTCCTTCGAAATAGTCCTCATTTGATTGTATAATATGCTGCCAACGACCTTTTCACGTATGGAAACAGTCCTGGAAGTCGTTTTTCGAAATAGCCTTTAGAGCGTTCGTCGTATTAGCTTCAGTTTCGATCGTTTCTTTATCGTCGAATCGGTGTCCTTTGAGTGGCATTTTCAATCTTGAAAGCAACCAAAAATCGCAGGGAGCTACATCAGGACTGTACGGAGATTGACGGAGCTGTATGACTTTGTGCTTCGTGAAATATTGCTGCACAAGATACGATGCATCCGCTGGAGCGTTATCGTGATGAAGAAGTCAATCACCGCTTGAATTTTAAAGCTCTCCGTCAATTATGCATAAGGAAAAGATTGTCCAGAACCAGATTGCCGGTTGTCTTGCAATAACAATACTTTGCAATTAAAAAATTAAAAATTTTTTAATAATGGTACCAATGGGGAGCCAGAACCTATCAAAAGTGATCGATTCAGGGTGGAATGACCCTACTGTATTCACTAATTTTACATTAATATTTAAATTCCGAAACATAAGAAATTACTTCAACGGAAGCTACATCTATTTCGGTCGCAGCTTCGAGTCCCGCTGGACTTGATTTTTTTTCATATTTTGCAATAATATTAATATACAATTCAAAGGGTTTTCCGATAAAACTATCAAATAATACTTGATGGGATATGTAGAGGTAATAATATTTAAAATGAAACTGAAACACAGTAGCTTTGAAAAGAGTTAAATAAATGTATTATTTGAAAGAAACGATTTGGAAGGAATATTTTAATTAAACCTGATTTATGAATATCTTAATAATGCAATATATTTTTGGACGTGTGAAAAATTTTAAACCGGAAAAGCAACGCATTAACATTGTTAACAATTGACCCGAAATGAATATCGCGACCGAAAGGGGATGAGGTCCGCAAAGGAAACAGTACATCATTTAGTAGTATTTATTTTACTTTTTATTTTTAATTATTTATGCTACCATATATATTACATCCGGATATTTGAATTCTACCGCTTCCGCGGTAGCCTCCTCTTCAGCGGAAGCCTCCTCTGCCGCGGTAATCTCTTCGGCCTCTTCCCGATGTCCAATGACGCAGCAACCGCTTGACTATTTTCTGCATGTGAAACAGAAAAATGAAAATGTAAAATACTTTATATACATATACCGTAAAACAGTTTTTAGGAGTGGGTTGCGTGTTTTAAATGAATCACAAGAGTTGCGTTTTCCTGCTGGCTTTATTTAAGACTTATCTTGCTTCTCCGACGCTTGCAAGAT